AAGTTCTTAAGCTGTGAGGTTAGTTTATTTATGTGGGCTTGATCTTGAATGCTTGTAGAGCTATAAACTTTCCTCTTAACACAGCTTTTGCTGTGTCCCATAAGTTTTGGTAACTCATGTCCTCATTTTCATTCGTTTCTAGGAATCTTTTGATTTCCTCTTTAATTTTCTGTCTAAGCCACTCGTTGTTCAATAGCGCACTGTTTAATTTCCAGGTGTTTGATTTAGTTTTCTGTTTTTGTGTGTGATTTACTTCTAATTTCAGCGCATTATGGTCTGAGAAGATTGTTGATACAATCTCTATCTTCTTAATTTTATGGAGGCATGTTTTGTGGCTCAGCATGTGGTCTATCTTGGAGAATGTTCCATGTACGCTTGAGAAGAATGTGTATTCAGCTTTGGTGCATTTAGCCCATTGACATTAAGAGAGATTATTGTCATGGGAGTTTGTCCCATTGTTCTGTTGAAATTTGGTGTATTTGGGGGGCCTGTGTTGCCTTAAAGTAGCCCATTTAGTTGTTATTGTAACCATGGTTTTGAGTCTATGAAGTTCCTGAGCTGTTGTTTGTCTGTGAAACTGTGTGTTGTCCCTTCTATTATGAATGAGAGTCTCGCTGGGTAAAGTATTTTTGGTAAGGCATTTATTTCATTGAGTTTTTTCACTATATCCCACCTCTGTTTTCGGGCCGTGAGGGTTTCATCAGAAAAATCAGCTGTGAATTTTCAGGATGCTCCATTGTAAAGAGATTTCTTTCTTCGATCTTGCTGCTTTCAGAATTTTGTCTCTGTCTAAAGTTTTGGTCATTTTGATCAGGATGTGTCTTGGGGTATTTTTATTCGGATTTCTTCTAGCTGGTACCCTTCGGGCCTCCTGGATGTGGTCACAAGTTTTCTTCAGCTCTGGAAACGTTGTAGCAATGATTTCTTTGACAGTTTCTTCTTCATCAAGGTTTTCTTCCTGTCCCTCTGGGACTCCAATAATTCTTATGTTACCCCTCTTGGCTTCGTCACGATCTTCTCTTGCCATCTGTTCCTGAATTGTGAGTCTCTTTTCCATTTTCTGCTCTTTTCTGGCAAGTCTCGGAACTTCATCTTCGAGCTCACTGATTCTGTTCTGAGCTGCTGTTACTCTGCTGCTGAGGCCTTCTACTGAGGTTTTCAATTCGGCTACCAGTTTTTTCAGGTCCAAGATTTCCGATTGCATTTTCCTCATTTCTGCCTTCAAATCCTCTTGTCTTTTATTGGCATTGCTTTCCATTGTTTCTTTTAGTTCCCTAAGCATCCTAAGTAGCTCCCTTCTGAATTCCTTGTCAGAGAGGTTGTCTAACACTACAGTACTGTTGGTGTCTTCTGGGCTACCTCGTCAATAAGAAAGTTTGGTGGGCTTTTGCGTTGCTTTACCATTGTGACCAGTGTGGTTTTGTCCTTCACGTTCACTGTTACTATTCTGGTTGAGTGAGGAGAGACTGCCAGGAGCTGTTCAGCTTTGTTGCTGCTAGATGGGCCTCTTCTACCTTTTTGAGTCTGATCTTCTTCTCAATCGGGCGTTATTCTTTCTTTTATAACTGACATTGAGTGAAACTTTTGGAGGAGGTGCTATTTACTACTGAGCTTATACAGCTATTTTCAAACAGGACTTTTGTTGGAAATGGAGTAGGTGAATGGGATGTTGTTGAATTGTTGTAGAACAGGTGAGAAATTTTTGGTTGGTATTAGGTGACAAGTTGATGAAAAGGATGAAAGGATGAAAGTCCAAATTGCTTGGAGTGAGTGATATACCTGTTGCCATGTAAGCGGCCGCCTGCCAGGAAGAAGGCCACGCCCACTTTGGAGGCCACGCCCCCTTCATAGAGGCCATGCCCCTAGCCAGTCCAGGCCACTCCCTCCCAGGATCCTGGATGGGGGGGTCCGATGGACTGCTGGGCCAGTTCCGCGCACACGGTGGGGCCTCCAAGCTGTCCTTCGGCGGGGATTGGTGGACGGCGCGCGGCTGGGGTCAGGGGCGGGTCTCGGCTGGGCTCCTCCAAACCACCTGGATGGCGGGGGACGATGGACTGCCGGGTCGGTCCTGGAGCTGGACGCGCGGCGGGGCCTGTGCACTGTCCTTCGGCGCGGATCGGTGGACGGTGCGCGGCTGGGGTCAGGGGCAGGTCTTGGCTGGGCTCCTCCAACCCACCTGGATGGGGGGGGTGCCGATGGACTACCGGGCCGGTCCTGGAGCTGGATGCGCAGCGGGGCCTCCACGCTGTCCTTAGGCGGGGATCGGTGGGCGATGCGCGGCTGGGGTCAGGGGCGGGTCTCGGCTGGGCTCCTCCAACCCACCTGGATGGGGGGGGGGCGATGGACTGTTGGGCCGGTCCAGAGCTGGCCGCACGGCGGGGCCTCCGCGCACTCCTTAGGCAGGGATGAGTGGGTGCCGCGCGGCTGGGGTCAGGGGTGGGTCTCGGCTGGGCTCCTCCAACCCACCTGGATGCTGGATGGGGGGGCCGGGCGATGGACTGCGGGGCCTGTCCCGGAGCTGGACGCGCGGCGGGGCCTCCTCACTTTCCTTAGGCGGGGATTGGTGGGCGGCCCGCGGCTGAGGTCAGGGGCGGGTCTCGGCTGAGCACCTCCAACGCACCTGGATGGGGGGGCGATGGACTGCTGGGCCGGTCCCAGAGCTGGACGCGTGGCAGGGCTTCCGCGTTGTCCTTCGGCGGCTATCAGTTGGCGAAGCTCGGCTGGGGTCAGGGCCGGGTCTCGGCTGGGTTCCTACAACCCACCTGGATGGGGGGAGCCGATGGACTGCCGGCCGGTCTAGGTGCTAGACGTACGGCGGGGCCTCCGCGCTGTCCTTGGGCGGGGATCTGTGGGCGGCGCGGCTGGGCTCAGGGCCGGGTCTCGGCTGGGTTCCTTCAACCCACCTGGATTAGGGGGGCCGATGGACTGCCATGCCAGCCCCGGAGCTGGACTCGCGGTGGGGCCTGTGGGCTGTCCTTCAGCGGGGATCGGTGGGCGGCGCGCGGCTGGGCTCCTCCAACCCACCTGGATGGGGGGGGGCGATGGACTGCCGGAGCGGTCCCGGAGCTGGATGCGCCACGGGGATCGGTGGGCGGTGCTCGGCTGGGGTCAGGGGCAGGTCTCGGGTGGGCTCTGTTCCCAGCTCTTTAGTTCTTTTTTTTCAATTGTTGTCTAAGACTCTCAATTATTTCCATTCTTTAACTTCTTTTTAAAATATTTTTAAATGAAATAATGTGTTGATTAAAATGTAAGATGGCCTTTCTTACCTTTCAGATCCTAAGATTTAACATTTTATTTTATTTTTATTTATTTATTTATTTTGCTTTTTGGGTCTCACCCGGTGATGTTCAGGGGTGTCTCCTGGCTCATGCACTCAGGAATTTCTCCTGGCGGTTTTCAGGGGACCATATGGGATGCTGGGAATCGAACTTGTGTTGGCCATGTTGGCTGCATGCAAGGCACACACCCTACCTGCTGTGCTATCGCTCCAGCCCCAGATTTAACATTTTGAAAGAGAGAGTGCTATTATGAACTAAACCCATTTTTCTTTTATATTCTCACCTCAGGAACTCCCAGTTATAAAATTTACTGGTAACATATTTATGGAAGGGGTTAAATTATACGTGAGACTAAGAACAGGGAAAGTAAGGATACATAGCTCTACTAATTAAGCTAATATTTATTGCATATCTACTCTAATACACACAAGAAGTGAGAACAGTCTTTCTTAACACATACCGACTCACTAAATATTAGTGCTAATACTATTACATTATTGAAAATCAGCTATGTTGATATATTTTATCTCTGGAATATTAGCACTATGAAATTATTGATTTTAATACATTTCTCATATATATATATATATATATATGCACTGCCTAGCTGTTCAATGGGAAACCATCAGTCTATATACATAATTCCAATGGGGCTGCTATAAAGTTTTCTCTGTTGGATGTCAATGAGATAAAAAGATTAGGTAGAGTATGCTTGCAATGCTTGTAGCTGATCTGGGTTTGATGAGTACTTGGCACCACATATGCTCTTCTGAGCATCCCCAGGAGTGATCCCTGGAGATAGATGTGGCCCCAAAACAAAAGGAAACAGTGTTTTCCATTATGGATCAGTGTACACTGGAAAAGAGTATAATTTTCTATAGAGCACAATCAGGAAAAAAAAAGAACATTAGTATGGAGTTGACTTTTGAAAAATTTAAAGGAATAAGCTAGGCACAGAAGTATCAAGAAGAATATTCTTTGGTCGTGGAGAATGGGCCTGGAAGCCGCTCCTAAGACTCCATCTAGCTTTGTTTTCTTGGGCCCAGCCACACAGGAAATACTGAACAGATCATATGAAGCGTGTTTCCTAGCCCTTTGAGTCACCTCTGGAAGGACAGTCTAAGTAGAACAGAGGTACTTAGAGTTATGCATATGCATGTTATGCAAACGGAGAAAATTGTGGCAATGGTTGATGTGGGAGCGAAAATGACTGGTGGAGGGATGGGTGTTGGAACAGGGTATGACTGAAACCTGATCATGAAAGTTTGTTTTGTGACTGTGTATCTCAACAGTGATTCAATTAAAAATATTGTTAAAAATTTTATTTATAATTACAAAAAGAGAAAGCAAAAATGAAGATTTCAGGGCTGAAGTGCAGGTGTTAGGGTGTTTGTCTTGCATGTGGTTGACCCAGGTTTGATTAGTGGTACCACTTATGGTCCCCTGAGCTGTATCAGGGGACCCCAGACTACAGAGCATTGTTGTCCTGAGCACTGTCAGGTGGGGGCCAAAAACATAACAAGTAATCTTTTTAATGTACCTTATTAGGAGTATAGACTTTAACTACCACAGTGACTCAATTAAGCAAGGGTGATAGAGTATCAAATCAATGTTATAAGAAACTACCTAGTGACAGGATTGTTAATTTTTAAAAATTGGACCATTATTTTGCAGCCAAGAAAAAAAGGGTACTTTGGTTGTAACAGCATTCTTCCTTTATAGTACTTTGAATATTCTGCTCAATATGAAATTCGGCATAACATCCAGAAGGAATTATGTCTTCATGCTGCTCAAGGTTTTGTTCAGTTGAAGGCATGTACCTACAAAGGTCGCAGGACAATTGCCACTGGAGAACAGATATGGGCTATCCAGAAGGTAATTCAGTACAATTAATTCACTCCTTTGTGTTACTATTTTGATTCATTCTAGTTGCTTGTTGGAGAAGGTAACGAAACATTAGTTTTTCCATCAAAGATTTTTAGTCTTTGTTAACTTTGAATGTCTGCTCATATGATAAGAGAGATTATATGAATTAAATACTTTTAGAGACAAAATAATTGTAAAGTTACTTTGGTTTAAGCACAGGATTATGAAGATCATTGCTTTGGTGCATTATTAATAATTGTTATCCATATTTTCATTTCATATAATGCTCCTTTTTTTTCCAACAGAGAGGGCATAAATAATTTTATTTTCTCTCAAAAAGTGATTAATTGCTTTTACTTCAGTACTTTATCATTAATTTTGGATTGAGAAAATACATGAAATGTGTTATCTGTTTTTAAAGATATTTTAAGGCTTAGCTGAACTTAGTATTTTTTTGACCTAAATACTCTTTCATGCAACACAAGAACACCATAACACTAAGGTTTTTTTTTTTTGCCTATTTTTTTTTATTAGTGAAGCACCATGAGGTACAGTTGTAGATTTACAAATCTTTGTGCTTGGGTTTCGGTCGTACAATGATCAAATACCCATCCCTCCACCAGTGCCCATTTTCCCCCACCCCCCCTCCCACCCTGCCTCTGTGGCAGGGCATTCCCCTTTGTTCTCTCTCTCTCCTTTTGGGTGTTGTGGTCTGCAAAAGAGGCATTGAGTGGTAATCATGTTCAGTCCATAGTCTACTTTCAACATGCATTTCCCCTCCTGGGAAGACATAACACTAAGTTTTATGTCTTACAGGTTTTTTTTTTAAAGTTTCTCATTTAGGGATATATCAATGGTTTTTTACTTGAAAAGTTGATTCAGACAAAGCTCTATATGCCTCACTTTATTTATGTAATAATGCTTTCTGTATATTGAACGGTAGTGAATGTGTTGTTAAAACCAGAAGCCAGCATGATTTTACAAATATAGTTGATATTAGAAAGATTAAAATTTAGGAATGGTACTCATTTGGTATGCAAATATACCTTTATAGTCAGTGAGACCATAATATCTTCTTATATTTCTAAGTTAATTATAAGTATTTAAAACTAAATGTCTGTTGTGTTTCTTTTATTCTAGGATCAACTTCTATATAATGCATTCTTTAAAATGTGCCTTTCAGCAGCCGGAGAGCATCCAAGCTTAGTGTCATGCAATCCATCAGATCCACTTCAAAAATGGATTTTTAGCCAAAATAATTAAGTGTTCCTTAAAATTAAGGAGATGAAAAGGAGATATTTTTTCTCATAAAACTGTGACTAGGCATACACTGTAGTTTTTGAAAAATTATGCAAAAGCAGCTAATTATAACTTATTCCAAGTGCATTTTCTTATTTATACCTTTAAATGTCTTGATAGCACAGCTACAAAAATTCCTTAAGCCTCCATTTCAAAGCACAATAACTAGTAATACCAAAGACTATTTTGAAATGTACAGATGTAGGGAATGTTTACAGTATGATGAAAATAATTTTTCAAGTAAAATGTATTTGTGTGTTTTATACACTAAGACATATATAGCTACATGTACACATTCAAAATTTAAAATATTCTAGTTTGGGGGGAGAGGGAGATTTGATACTGTATTTTTTTAAGTACAAAGATATGAATCAATGAAGGTCGAACATTGACCTTTGTATCCAAGCTAGGATATTTTTATAAGTCTAGAATAAAAATACAGGCGAACAATTTCTTTTCCCTTTGCTACGGGTCAGATATTTTCCTAAACATTAAGTAAAAAGATGAATATTTTTAACTTTAATTTCTTAGCAAAAGTTAAAACACATTTTTGTCTTAAGACCACTTGACTTGAAGCACTTAAGTCTTCCTCAGATGACTTTTATTCAATAACCATGCTGTCTGTGTTTCCAAAGCAATTAAAAAGAAAAATATAAATGGCTGTTTGTTGAAAAGTGTCTTTCTCCTTTCTGTGGTCTTTTGTTCTCACCAAAATGCACTAATTGTGAATGTTTGTGAAATTGAATTTCAGTGCCGAGTATTGGACTTATTTAGAGTTTCATTTGTTACTGAATCAATTATAGATTGTTTTTGTAATAGGTTTTTCCATGAAAAAACGTACTTATATCTATGTAGAAAATACAATAAAACATCCTTAGTATTATTGTAATTATTTAATTAAGGTTATTTATTTGGGGGTTAAAATACATTATTGACAATATATGGGGACATATAAATTTTGTATATTAAATTTATAATCACTATCACCTCGTTGTTCATAGATTTGCTCAAGTGGGCGCCAGTAACGTCCCAATTCATCCCTGTCACGTGCTAGTGTAGCCCAGTGGCATACTGGGGGCTCTTTCAGAGTCAGGGGAATGAGGACCATCATTGTTACTGTTTTTGTCATATTGAGTATGCCACGGGTAGCTTGCCAGGCTCTGCTGAGTGGGCAGAATACTCTTGGTAGCTTGCTGGGCTCTCCGAGAGGGATGGAGGGTTTTGGGGCAGCCTCAAATCACCTTTACAGGTGTTCCCAGTCAGGCATATATGTGGGCAGGAGACTCTCGGTAGCCTTATTGGGTTCTCTGAGAGTGAGAACTAGACAATAAGAGGTCGCTTCCAGAGGCTTGGTCTTATAGTCTCTGGATCTTGGCTGTTGATGGGGTTACATAGAAGTTGGTGGGTATAACTAGCTAGCTACTGGAAAATGGGGGTTCTGGGGGGGTGAGGCCCAGTCCCGAACTGAGCAGTGTTAGAGATCTCAGCCCTGAGTCCCGCACACCTGGGTTCCTCTGCCGGTTCCTTCATTTGTGAGGCTCGTCCTAGAGTATGGAGAGTGGTCTCAGTGTGGCTGTGGCTGGGTCCCGGAGGACTTCAGCTCCTGGGGCTCTGCTCAGGTAGGAGAGGAAAACAACCCGCCCCCCCTCCGAGGGGCCCCAGTGAGGACAGCCTGGCGCGGGGGCAGGAGACTCTGAGTTGTTCTCTTCCAGGAGCTTGGTTTTATAGTCTCTCTCTCTCTCGCTCTCTCTCTGTCTCTCTCTGTATACATATATCTATATATATAGTTTATATATTTATAAAAAGTTATAAAACTATTTTGCTCAAGAATATTCAAGAGGGTTGAAGCAATAATGCAGCAGGGAGGGTGTTTCCCTTTCATGCGGCTGACCTGGGTTCAAGTCCCAGCATCCCATATGGTTTCCCAAGCACTGCCAGAAGTAATCTGAGTGCAAAGCCAGGAGTAAGCGTGGGCTGTCACTGGGTGTGACCTAAAAAAGTAAAAGAAAAAAAATTTCAAACATTGAGTGGCAATATCATGAAACATCAGGAAGACATCAATCACATCATGCTGTTTTCGACACTGGAGAAGAACTATTCCTTGGAACATACAAACGAGGCATCGGTGGTGTTGGTATCATTGTCAACACGAACTTAGCCAAGAGCTTTGATTCATTCGAATGCCTAATAACCCGAATCGGACGATTACACTTGAATAGATGTGGCTCTCTGCCGGCAGTTTCTATCTTCGTTGTCTATGCACCAACATCCAATTATGGTGAAAGAGAAATTGAGAAGTTCTACATGGAGCTGGAGAAGTCCTATAAAGAAATGGAATAGACCACATAATATTCAATCGGGGGTTTTGCCTAACTGATGTTGCTGTTGTCCCAAAATTCCAAACGGGATCGGACCACCGTCTCCTTCATGCAAAATTCTACCTCACAGAACGGGGAGAAAAGAATGCAAAGTTTAATAAGAGAACTCCCAGAATGACCACCAGCTGGGAGCTCTGGCTCTGTTGCGGCAACATGGGAAGATTCCGTCATTGACAACATTGATGAGGAATACGATCGAATGATTCAGCACCTCCATGATGGTGCGAGGAATGCCAAGAGAGAGATAACCACAAAAAACTGCCTTTCTTCGAACACTCTTGAACTTATTCGCCAACATGGCTTGGCACATGCCTCAGGCAACCGCAAGCGAACGTCCGAGCTGGCAAAACAATGCAGAGAAGCCATCAAGGATGACCTCAAAGACAGGAGAACAGCAGTGCTGGCAGATGCGGCAGAAGCCGGGAAAAGCATTCCTAATGCCCACCTGTCCTTCACCAACTACAAGACCAAGATGACTGCCCTCCGACATCCTGATGGATCTATCACATCTTCCAGAAGGGCAATGGAGAAGATTATTCATGACTTCTACTCATATCTCTTTAATAGCCACATCCACTTGCCCACATACCACATTCCATACAACGGATATATCGTTCCCAATGTTCTCCCTTCCGAAATTCAACACACCATCTCGTTGGTAAAGAAGCAAAGAGCACCTGGCCCAGACAAGATCAGACCTGAACACCTGAAGAACTAACCATCAGTATTCATCAATACACTGGCTTGGCTCTTCAAACGCTACCTGTCTGAATGCAAGGTTCCATCCCAATCAGTGGAAAACCAGCAAGACTGTACTACTATACAAGAAGGGAGACATCCATGACATTGGCAGCTATCGCCCAATATGCCTATTGTCTGTCATCTACAAACTGTTCACTCGAGTCATCCTGAATAGGATTAGCAGAACACTAGATGAAGGACAACCATGTGAACAAGCCGGGTTCCAAAAAGGATTCAGTACCATCGACCATATCCACACGATTACTAAGCTCATTGAGGTTTCTCAGGAGTTCAAGATACCACTCTGTCTAAAGTTCATTGATTTAAAGAAGGTCTTTGATTCTGTTGAGACGGAAGCAGTCATAGAAACCCTAGCCAATCAGGGCATACAAACTCAATACGTTTAAGAGTGCGATTTCTTCCTGTTGTACATATCCCTTGATGAAGAGAAAATAGCCTTTGCTGTCTCTTCTAATCTTTTTCAACCTAAAGTTAATATTGTCGGATACTAGTATGGCCACCCCAGCTTTTTTTAAGGAGCTGTTTGCTTGCAGGATTGTTTTCATCCTTTCACTTTGAGTCTGTGTTTGCTCTGACTGTTGAGATGAGTTTCTTGTAGGCAGCAGAATGTTGGGTTCTGTCTCTGAATCCATTTTGCACTCTGTGTCTTTTAGTTGGTGAATTTAGACTGTTGACATTGAGAGAGATTATTGTTATGGGGTTTTGTGTCATCTTTCTGTAAGGGTCTGTTGTGCTTGTAGGGTTTGTCTTGTCTTATAGTAGCCCCTTTAGTCCTTCTTTTAGGTTGGTTTTGAGTATGAGTTCCTGATCTGCTGTTTATCTAGAAAATAGTGTACCATTTCTTTGATTTTGAGTGAGAATTTAGCTGGATAGAATATTCTTGGTGAGGCGTTCAGTTCAGTGATTTTTTTCACTATATCCCGCCATTGCCTTCGTGCTTGGAGGGTTTCCACTGATAGGTCTGCTGTGAATCTAAGGGGTGCTCCTTTGTATTTGATTTCCTTCTTTGACCTTGCTGCTTGCAGTATTGTATCTCTATCGGCAGCATCGATCATTCTAACTATGATATGCCTTGGAGTATTTTTGTTAGGGTCTCTTTTAGCTGGCACCCTTTGGACTCCTTGAACCTGATTGGCTGCATTGTCGAGCTCTGGGAATTTTTCAGCAATGATTTGTTTAACCGTGGTTTTTTCATTAGGATTCTTTCCCTGAGCTTTTGGTACTACAATGTTTCTAATATTGTTCCTCTTGGAATCATCTCCTAGGACTTTGATTCTCTCTAGAGCTATTTTGAGGTCCCTTGCCACTGTTTTTTGTTGCCTGTTGGCTTGGTGCAACTGATCTTCCATCTCACTGATTCTCTATTCAGCTGTGGTCATTCTACTGTTGAGGGCACAGAGTTTTTTTTATTTCATCTACAGAATCTTTTATTTGTGACATTTCTGCTCTCATTTCTTCCCGTATTTCTCGATAGTTTCTGTCATGTTACTGGGTATCTGACTGTTTCATTGAGTTGATTGAACATCTTCATGACTTCATATCTGAATTCTTTGTCAGAGAGATCCCTTAGGTGAGCAGTATCTACAGAGGCTTCTGGATTCTTTTTGTTGTCCTCCCCATGTGGTGGGAATTTGCGTTGTTTCTTCATGTTGGTGTGTAGGTATGGGGACTAGGTTCCTTGGTGTAGCTAAACTACCTGTGGCCACGTGAGTGTTGGCCCACTGAAAATTAGGCCATGCCCACTTCTACGCCCAGAAGTCACGCCCACTTCTGAAAAGGCTCCACCCCCACAGGTATCTGGTGTGTGTGGGGGGAATAAAGACTGGTTGGGGGAGAAGACCAGCACAGCTTGGGGGATGAAGAGGAAGAGACAGAGGCTCAGGGCTGCTTTTCTCCCAATGTCCGAGAGGACGCCTGGGGGCCTTTCAGGGAGAAATCCAATTACGGGTTTGAATACTGGCGGATAAACTGACCTGGGTTTGGGAGAAGACCAGCACAACTTGGGGGACAAAGAGGAAGAGGCAGAGGCTCAGGGCTGCTTTTCTCCCAATGTTCGAGAGGATGCCTAGGGGCCTTGTAGGGAGAAATCCAAGTCTCAGGTTCGAATACCAGCGGATAAACTGACCTGGGTTTGGGAGAAGACCAGCTGATCTTCTCAGTCTATCTTGGCATTAAAATCACTGACAATAATCTTGTAGAAGGTGTGGTCTTCTTTATAGAACTTCTCCAACTCCATGTAGAACTTCTCAATTTCTCCATCATAATTGGATATTGGTGCGTAGACAACGAAGATAGAAACCGAGGTAGCCACATCTATTCACAAGTAATCATCCTATTTGGGTTGTTAGGCATTTGATTGAATCAATGCTTATGGTTAAGTTTGTGTTGACAAGGACACCGACACCTCCGATGCCTCTTATGTCACTTGTTCCAAGGAACGGTTCTTCTCTAGTGTTGAAAATGGTGTGGTGTGATTGATGCCTTCTTGTCTCGATCAGACCAATGATGTCATACTTGATCTTTCGTACTTGCACCATCAAGTCCTTGATGGAGATGCATCCGATGCCAGCATACATGCATTGAAAGTACAGTCATTTTTGTCTTT